TGAAGGTCTTTGTACAAACTGCCGCAATAGAGAACTCCCAAAGTATCTACTCCATCTAATAGAAGTTTTCTAAAGATAGATATTTTTCCGTTCGTATTAACTCAGTCTCTCAAACAGATTTTGAAATTAATGCAGGAGTCTCATAGTTGCTTGCGTTCTCACTTCTCTTACTGTTACATGTTCGGGATTTTTTTAACCACAGTCAGATATGACAAAATTGCCCCTTTAGCCGCAGATGACACAGCACTTTTTACCCTCAATTCAGATATTGCTGCGCCTTCGACAACGTACAGAATTGACCTAATAATAACTAATAAATGGCCTTCAAACTGGGAAAATAAAGGATTTAACGCATCTTTAAACTCAAGCAAAATATTCACACCGGGCAAAACCTCCTCAACCCACCCCTCCTCAGCTTCCAAAACACAAATCATAGAATTGGATGAGTGAAATACACCAGCAAAATACTTAGGACTACTACTTGACACCAAACTAAACTGGAACAACATATCAAATCCCTATAGCAGATAAAACTTATGCAAAATATCCAAACTATAGCTAATAATAAATAGAAATTTCGGACTTACACTGACTTGCGGCTAATCTATTTGAAAACAATAATGAAGACCAAACCCTCACATATGCCTGGCCCATCTGGAATAACGGCGCAAAACAAACCCTAAATAAAATAAAAATAATACAAAATAAATTTCTCAGGAAGATCATTGAATGCTCCTTGTTCATTAGCAACAGCAAATGCCAAAATGCAACTAAATATATCATCCATTAACGAATATATAAATCTTAAGACTCATAAATTCTTCTCACCCTTCCCCAATCGGCAGTACAACAAATTCAGCTTGTAGGTAAGTATCAAAAAGGTAATAAGATCACGATTTCCTAAAGACTCCCTTCGTCCATCTAAATAACCACCGATCTTCCACTTTCCAAAAATCCACCCACTGACACCGTCTCCTTAAAAAATTATCACACATAATCCAAAAACGGTTATCACAGTTTCTTCTCAAAGTACAACGTTTCGTCAGACCCCTGAGAGAGGAGGTAACGAATGTGGATGTCCATCCCTAAAAGTTAATGGTCAGAATATTTGTATAATGAACACCCCCTGAAAGGCAGAAATGCCGAGCTGAGAAGTAAATTTTGTAAAAAATGTTTTATCTAAGTACACGTTATGTTTTATTCTTAATAACATTTTCGGTATTTGATGATATTTTCCTGACTCGATGAACTACGATACATGACTAATATTGAGTTTCAGTTTGACAGTGAACATGGCATCCTGTCGCGCTAGAAAAGGTTTTAAATGCATTTGTTGCGTTATGGTGCGTCTACCTTCCAGGCGCCGTTGCGGCGGGGAGCGGCGGGGAGCGGTGCGGTGCGGTGCGGTGCAGTTGCGCGGCGGAGGTGGCGCGTGGGCAGCGGCGCGGTGCGGCCGCCCGCCGGCGCCGGCCCTCATCGCTAGCTCCGCCTCCTGCGCACAACAATGCCACTGCACTCATTGGCTAGTGCTCATTGGGTTAACGGGGGAGAGGGATTGCGTCACGTTCGATGGTTGACTTTGGTTATTGCAATGTCCGGCGTTCTTCATACTGTCGAGGTGTCGTAATGTAAGGGGTCGTAAAGAGCGGGTGCGTAATTTGGGGTTCATAATTCGGGGGGTCGTTATGTCGGGTGCTGTATGCCGCTTTTTGATTACTACTGTGTACGCTCAACTGTTATGGACATTAGTCCTGTAAGTTGTAGCCAGCACATTTCTTTATCTCGGGCGTGGTAGTGATCATTTCACTGGTTGGCGAGACCCTGCGTCGGAACGGACCAGCATTGGTTCGGAGGAATTTTCGCCAACATGCATCACGCGTCAGCGGGGAAAACGCTCTAAGCTTCCCGATGTGTGTGATGTTGTTGTGCATGATAAGTTGTAATTGTGTGTAGCGTATGATAATAGGAAAAAAGACAAGGGAGAGGAATGAAAAATCGAGCACTGTCCGCGGTCTGTTTGTTCGGGATCGCCGGAATTCGCCTGGTGTTGATGGAAAAAAAGACGGACAAACTATATTCAGAACAGTTCGGGCACTAGAATTTCTCCAGGTATTTGGCTGAATTCGACCTAACTATCTGGCTTCAGCCCAGGGTCTCCTAGGTTAGACGTACTTGCAGTGGGACATCAGTCTAGTGAGTACCTCTAGGCTGGCCACTGAAGCCAACTGAGCCGGACGGATGACGTTTATGAAGTGTCAAGGAGTTGGATGTCGACGACACAGAATGTGCGAGATATTGAGTTATCGAGTATTGAATTGTTGGAGGTTGTCCGGGGTGTCGTTTTTTCTTTGTGTATAGTTCTCGGAATGATGATGCATTGGATACATGCAGTCGCGTTAGGGTCAGAATCACCATGTTGTCCGCAGCCAATATACGAGTATTTTGAAATAGGTCAAACTTTGTTCATGTCTGGCCTAAAATACTATTCATTTAACTAAGAAAAACCAACAATACCATGTTATGAACTACAATATAAATTATGAATACTGCGTTTTTTAACTTTCATATTTAGTTCTAGGTCGATGAAGCTAAGCATAGCAGTACCAACACTATATCAAAAGATAAAATAAACTCAAATATCATGTTAAGCATACATAGCGTTGTTATGTAAATCATTGTAATGACATTACTTCTGATCTGAGACTTACTAGAAACTTGCTTTGTCATAGTTAATATTCAAGAACACAATGGCTAACTTCATTAAATCGTAATCAGTGTGAGGGGCACCGGAAACTTAGAACAAGCCAGTTGCCACTCCACTGTATATTGGGCTCGTAATGTGAAATGGTACGTAAACGTTCCATCATTCAATTTACGTGTGCGTCATAGATGACGATTAAATACATTTATGATATGCTATGGATGATGTAAAATCAAAGGGAGAATTTAAGAGGTGAATCGTGCAAAGCAGTGTTCACACCACTGGCGCAAGGCAGTCTTTTCAAGCATAAAACATAATATTCATCTCAGTTTAAAAAGATTACTTCACGCATTTGAAATTCATAGAAATTTCTCCTTTTTATATTCTCCAACGTTTCAATAGTTTTAAAGTGAAGTAGACACTTGCTTTAAATATTGTAATTAAATCTGTTATTATTAAATCAGCAAAATGAATTTTCCTGTTTGAGAAACTTCTAATCAATCTTTTTATTCATCTAATTATTTGCACTAAAGATACTTATATTTACACATAATACTTCTTACAGTATATTTGTCGATGACACGCCCAATTATTAGTTTTTTTATGTGTGATCAATTAGAATAGCAAATCAAAAATTTTTCAAAAATACATTTTTGCTCCAAACAGATTGAATTTATATTCATTTGTAATTGATTTATCAGAAGAAGCGTTAATGAAACGTCCATTATTAATATCTTTATTACGCACGGCATAATTCATTTTAAATCTATCAGTCAAAGTTAGAATCGTAGATTATGATTATGCGCGTTGTCTGTATTGAAGAGAGATTGAAGATTGATATTTGTGCACTATTATCTATTCCTCTAATAAAAATGACCAGAGCCATATTCTTTGAATCGTAGGTATTTAAGGTTGTTATGTGCAATATCCAAACAGTTTTAAGATACAGTAATTTTATTTTTACTTCGTCTTCATTATTTTCTCTATATGTGTTCCTCTGATTTTACTTATATCCCATGAAAAATACTCGTTAGTTTTTGTTATCAAATAATCTAAAAATAGTGTGTGATAAAATGATCAATTTGTTTTGTATTTTTCAGAAATACGCATGTTTAAAGAAAGCACTTGTGAAGATTACAGTTGTGAATAAAATATTGAAAATATAAAACACAGAGAAAAAATGAACTGTGCAGATTGATTGGAAAGATATGCTTACCACTTAAAATGAACGCAAACAAATACGCACAAGAAGTATTACAGAATATCTCATAGAACCTCTACCAATTCACTAATCTACATTTCATCTATACAAATAGCAAACTTTTACTTCCAGATAAAACGAAAGTATTTCCATTAATTTAATGCGGTGAAAATCACAAAAAATGAGGGAAGGGAATCATACTTCATTTTCTGTTTGAGTAAAAACGACATCACTAAAATTTTAAGTTTAACACTTATTTAAGACAACCAGATAAGAGGCAGTAAGTGTGGACAGTAGTATAAAAATAGAAGAAATTTAAATTAATTATGTAAATGATACAACTTTTCAGACGATGTCGAACTTTTCAGACGAACATTGTTCATGTTCTACAGAGTTTCCAACATTCCTATATTTTCTTAATAAGAATGAATATTATAAATTAATTCATACAAAACCATAAATATATTTTTCTAATATCATCAATTATTCATATTTTAATATGAGTAAGGAAATGTAAGAAAGTTTAATGAAAAGAATGAAGGAAATTTCTACGGAACGGGTGAGGCTGCTAATGGAGTGGGCAGAGGCGGGGGACTGTGACTTCGTCAACGGTAGTCGGAAGAAAATGCGCAAACAAAAACTTCAATGTTAAAAAAAGAGAATGCTTCAACTTTACCCACAATGTTTCTCCTCATTGTTAACACCAAAAACGATGTTCGTCTGTGCATTCATGGTCATCGATTTTTCTTTCTCCTCTCAGGCGGTAAGCGATGATTTCTTAGGGTAGGCTATTCCGCAGTGAAGTTTCGGAATGCAGTAGAATAAAGAACAACACCAGTTGTTACTACAAAAATCACTAAGAAAGCATAGGCCTTTCATTGTTGTGCAGAGCATAGAAAAGAAAAGGGTCGCAGTGGCCCGACTTGTAAAATTCCCGAGAAGTATCCTCCTGATTGTCCCGACCTAGGAGAAGCCGCTGCCACCGTCGAGGTCAGCTCCCGCGACTCGTCTTGTGCGCACCAGCGCCGCTGCGCAGCCATGGCAGCGGGTGGCACATAAAAGAGCGGGGCGGGGGCGGAGGCGGCGAGGCGCTCTCACCCTGCTCCGCCCTGCTCTGCCCCGCACCTCCTCTCCCCCCTGCCACGCCACGGCCCGCCAAGAGCCAGCCTGCCCGCTCTGGTCCGCTCCACCGGCCCGGCCCACTGCAGCCTGCTCTGCACTTCCTCACTCTTCTCCATCCCGCGCCGCTCCGAACAGTCCGCCCGCCACCATCTCAATATCCCTTTCGCATCGGTGCGTCACAAACAGCCCCATCCTTTACACCAGCCCCGCCTCGTCTGCCTTCCCGCCATACGCGCGACAATGCCTCACACGTCGCCTTTTCAACACTCTGTATCGTCTCCTCATCGTCCTGTCTCCTTGCTGCTCAACCTGTCTTGACCCATCTAATCCCTTTCGTCTTGTCCTGCACTGGTGGCAACGCCCACCGTCATTAGCCCTCCCTTCTACCCTTTATCTTCAACCGTCCTTTTTACTCGTTTTCACTGTCCGTCCTCTCTACTTATCCCATTTACTCGTCCCCTCTTTCCGCCCCTTCAGTCTTCTCTACCCGTTTCCTTTACTCGTTATTTCTACATGTTCTCTACCAAGCCCTCTGCCTTTTCTCTCTACCCATTCCCCCTACCCATCCCTACTATCAGTCCCCTACTCTTCCTGTTCTTTCTACCATTCCTCTCTTCCTGTCCCTTCTACCCTTCCCCTCTTCCTGCTCCCTTTTCCCTTCCTTGCCATCCGTCCTCACTACCCTCCTTCACCGTCTTTGCCGCCCTCAATACCGCCTCGCCCTATCCCCCCCTTCCCCTCAGTGCGCCGCCCCCACTCCGCTGCGCTCCCCCGAGCGTGGGGCGTCGCCGGCGCGACACGGCGAGTGCGGGCGGTAACTCACGGGGCCCCAGGGTTCGATTCCCGCGCACCGGGTCCCCGAGGGGCTGCCCGCTGCCAGGAAGAAGAGGCTGCGTGAATGCGTTGCTCGTGAGTCTTCGGCGGCGCGCGGCTATGAACTATGCACCGCGCAAGGGGGGCACGATCTGCGGCTCAAATGGAGGAGGATCGATTCTTGGGCGCACGAAAATGAAAGGGGTTGATCAAACGTTTGGCAACGGAAATAAAAAAGATGTATACTTGACACTCGCCTATTTGTATTTAGGTTATTATTAGTTTTTATGAATTCAGTTTTAACCCTCTTGTATTTTGCGCGGCGATATGATGATAGTATGGGTCTAAATAACTAAATAATCTAAATACTAATTTAAACGTTAATAACAAATATTAATAAGAAATAAACAGCAAAAATTATTAGGATTTCATATAACTATAGATATTACATCTCTGCTAATGTTTCGTAATATAAATTGTAATTTTATCATTAAATTGTGCTTAGAAACCCTTTGTGAGACTTTTAACATGTTTCGCTTCAGTTTTTTGATTGCCTTTAGACATTCAAAATAGCTCAATTCTAAGTTACTTTTACATTACGCAGGAGAATTGCGCAGCGAAATGGTCACTCACCATTCATGCTTTAAATTTTCTGTTCACAAAGCGGAAATGTCTTTAACAACAATGTGAAAGTTGTTCAAATTTCATCAAAACTTGCGCATTTTTGCACATTAATAATGCTCAAACTTCTTCAATTCCACCATGTCGGAGGCTGTGTGTGAAGTTTATACACGGAAGCTGTGAGTTTGCACGGACATGGAAATCGAGTGAATTGCATGAGGAATTCTGAAATAAAACTGCGAGTCTTAAGTTCGCAGAAAAAAGGTCTGGATTTAAATATTTCTGTTCCATGTTCCATGTTCAAGACAATGAAGAAATAAAAATTCACTTGCGAAGAAGATGCTGTGACAATTTGAGCAAGCTATAAAAGGAGGGCGAAACTATGTGCGCCCAGAAATAAGCATAGTAGTGGGGACAAGACAAGATTCTTTACTATTTATAAACAGACCTCCCAAGGACTACCTAAACGTACAATATGACACCTCGTCTGTCGTCTTTTATGTCTCAGACATTGCACAGCATAGAAAATTTATTGAACAAAAGTATACACGTATATATGCATTGCCATTTTCAACCAGAAGTAATTTCGTCGAAGCAAGTTCAGATCTATGCGATGGAGAGAGTAAAGAATATATTTCTTCAAATGCAAGTAATCATCCTGTTGAAACTATTAGTATCTTAAAATTAATTTAGGAATGAATAAAATTGCTTCAATACTCTCTTGAATGAATTGGCTTTTTAATTTTCATTTTCATTTTGTAAGATATCTGCTTACATTTAAACATGAATTTGAACATTTTAAATATTATTAATTGCTTTATTGAAACTGTCACATCGAACAAATCTGTCTTATGTATTCGTAGTATTTATATTTAGTTATAATGTACACATAATATAATACATTATATTCATGGAATGAATTATAAGTATATAATACGTCCTATATTATTTACATACGTAATATTATTTTTAGTTAGCGCTAAAGAGAAGGGTATAAGTATGTAGTAAGGTTTTATCGACATTACAAACTTTAAGCAACGGGAATAATACCCACTCTAGACGCCCGATATCCGTAAATTTTAATGGTCGCCATCCATTAACAACAAAGAAAACAAATGAGTTGCAACTAAATATTGCGTGTAATCTCTTCCACTCCACGGAAATAGACAACACACATTCCACAGTCGATATCACAAATAACGGACTTCGTTGGTTATTAATCTTAACTATCGCATGGTTTACAAATTTCAGTCGAGAACATCGAGCGCAAAATATCAACTTTATTCAATCGATTTTTAGAACATCAACGCTCTCCATTCAAATAAAAAAACGGAAGCAAGTTCTGAACCGTTCGTTGTTACTCCCTCGATAAAGCAAAAGCTTACCGGACTGAAAACATTCAAAATTGTTCATTAAGAAGCATCTCACAATTAAGGGTTTCTAATATTTTAAAATATATTGAGAAGAAAGGGTGCCAATCTCTTTTCGACAAAGGTTTTGGTTTTATTGGAATTTGATTTGCTATATTGTCAGATACTTTATCTTACTTTATTTGGAATTTATAGGCACATGGCATATGGTATAGGCATATGTAGAGTATTAACGCGGTATTTTAAAAATCTTAATAGTGTCTTCTGATGCCCTTGCTGGCTCGTTGGCAGCTTTCCCCGTCGCAACCCCAAGCTAATCTGTCGCAACCTTTGCCCATCCCAAATTTCAGCGCGGTCGGAAGTGAGTGTTCTGACTATACCACGGATGTCTCCATTGGTGAATCAAACCACCAATTCTATCACAAAATCATTATACAACTATCGTCACTTTTATCCTCTATCCTCTGAGAATATTATAAAACAACTACTACATCACTACCAGCATCAACACGTCCCCGATTCTTTCAGTCATGCCAATGCCGACGTCATATCTACAAGTCGGCTCGAGGGCTTTTCCCCTCCAGGTATGTACGTCAGCGATGCACCATCCGCCGGGTTAAGCTTTAAGCTCCGAACTGGTGTCCAGACAGATGCAGCAGCTCTCCACAGTAACAATGATACAACCCAAGAGCCACCACCATCGCCCTCTAGCTCGCACTTTTTACACAACTTGCGATCACCTTCCAATATGTACTTTTCGCCCAACTAGCGATCATCGTCTAGTAGCGCTTTTCGCACAACTTGTGATGTGAGGAAAGCAGTTCGCTTGCATTCCCTCCATCACCTCTTCTTAAGATAAGGCGCCGCTCCCGAAAAACGCTCCCAGACTGCTAGCTGCGCAGGCCCTTTCCACGGCCACTGCCAGAACGTTCGTGCTGGAGCATATGGCATTTACTGCCAGCTGCGATCTTGCTCGAAATTGCGTTCACCAGAGATGAGATGTACCCTCAAAAAGGAGACGTAAGCGTTTTAATCTTCTTCGCGTTTTGGAAACCGAAACGCTGATTTGAATATCTATATCAATATCTTAATTTCAAAGAGATAATTTCTAGGGAATATTATTTTTTCAAAACGTGTATTTCTGTTAAAAAGCGATTGGAAGACGAGTCTATGGCATTACAAGGCAGTTATATTGTTATAACCTGACGAGTTTATATTTGTATTAATTTAGTAAAATAGTACGGACTATAACGACCAAGTAGAATGTTACTTCTGTTTGTATTAGAAGAACTTTAATTTAATGCGGAAGGTTGATGATTGTGAGTATTCATATTTTCTAGAGATACTAGTCATAAAATAGAATTACATGTAGATTGTAAATACACTAATAAAGAAATATATTTCAATACCTTACTATCGTATATAGAAGAAGGCAAGCTTCAGTTCATGTATCGAAAGGTAGTATTAAAGAAAATATAGATTAAACGTATCAGGTATGTAATGAAATAAATCTTATTAATTAGTTTTTAATATATTCTTTAACCCTTTTTTCTTGGGAAATTTTAGAAGTCCGTTACCATTTTGCACTTCTATGGGATGTATCATTAATCATATCCGAAACACTGTAAGCATAACGTGAGATCATCTTCAACATAACACAGAAAAGGCAATGGGCAAACATGGATACTCCGCGCTGAATTGAAGCCCTCGACCCTTCGCACTGAGAAGTTGAGTTGGTACGATCTCCACTATCAGGGAAGACTTGATATGTTTTACGCGAACCAAATCATTTATTTTGTGAAAGTGTTTTAGTGTGCCGCCACTTATTTGTTCGGAAGTATCAAAAGCTAATATGCACTAAAGTGACATCAGGTGAAGCCTTGAGCCACATTATCCGATATAGGGATTGAACATTACCAATTAAACAAATGCGTTGTAAATAACAGCATTCTATTTGCCTTTTCCACTAGTCGCACTGAAACCCAAAGCAGTGCAGGGCTACACCGCCATCGCTCCGCAACAGAGGTGCTCCACAAGGGTGAAAGACAGCGAAGAACAGTACGGATTCGAAACCTCAGTGTGTGACGTCAGTAGGCATTTTTTACTTGTTATAGCTATTGAATTGATAGGGTCCAGCCCTGCCCATTTGTTTGGTTATGAAAACCAAACAACGATTCTGACGATACAAAAAATATGAATTTTAGTAAAATATTATTAAATAATATTTAGTTCTATAAGAAATTGATACATCTGCTCATTGTTGTAACGTTGTATAACAGTTGATAAATATATTTTAAGACTATTGTTGAAAA